TTATTTCAATCTTCACGCTTTAGATGATATGTGTGCTACTTCCCAGCCCTGATTTCCCAATGTTTAACCCTAGTTACATAAACTGAGCACCTGACAGAAAGCGCAGAGTAAAATGTAGGCCGTTCCTCGGTGGACCGGAGGCTTCAGAGATGCGGAGAAATGACTGCGGCAGGTGAAGATCTCCTGTCTGAACACTCGCAGGATCATCACATGCTCACACAGCTGTGAAATAGAGGAGCAGACAAGAAGAGCATCTCGTGTATCCACAGACTGCTTCTCTGAGGGTTTGTTAAACAGATGATGCTCTGTTATCTGCTGCGGCAGAGAGGAGAAACGTCAGTGGAAGCGCGTGTCCGCTATTAATGAAAGATTAGCATATTTTAATGAGATTTTGCAGTGCGGGTAGAGCCTCCTGGTGGACATTTGACGCATCACATGCTTTGCAATGTGCCCATTTAGCAGGGAACATGATCAATGTTGGGTTACTTCAAAAATTAAATATAGTTACTTCTCACAAATAGTAACTGATGAGTAACAGAATTACATCTTTATAGAAAAGTTACTAATTACCAGGGAAAGTAACTGTTTTGTTTTCTATGAGATGGACTATAATTAAAAAATACACTATTTTATATCCTATTTTTGTTGCTGTGGCACAATGTGGGAGACACTGATAAAGTTTGATAGTTTATTGTAAATATTATCATTTATGACAATGGTGAAACAATATTTGTTTAAGTACTCGGTACTGAAAATTATTCCCATCAGTGCATACAAGCAATGTAAAATGGCAGTGTATTTATTTATTTAAATTTGCATTCTCCACCAAAATAACATACACTACCTGACAAAAGTCTTGTCGTCGATTCCAGTTGTAAGAGGAACAAATAATAACCCGACTTCTAGTTGATCATTTGTAAAAGTGGCAGAAGATAAATTTTTCCAATGAATCATCTGTTGAACTTCATCTCAATCATCACAAATATCGCAGAAGACCTATTGGAACCCTCATGGACCCAGGATTCTTACAGAAATCAGTCAAGATTGGTAAAAAAAAATCATGGTTTGGGGGTACAATTAGTATGGGAGAATGCAAGAGATCTGCAGAGTCCTGAGGTATCAAGACATTTATGCTGCCCAATACAAGTACATTAAAAACCACAGGAGAGGGCAAATTCTTCAGCAGCATAGCGCTCCTTCTCATACTTCAGCCTTCACATCAAAGTTCCTGAAAGCAAAGAAGGTGAAGGTGCTTCAGGACTGGACAGCCTAGTCACCAGACATGAACATTATTGAGCATGTCTGCGGTAAGGTGAAGAAGGAGGCACTGAAGATACATCCAAGGAACCTTGATGAACTCTGGGAGTCCTGCAAGTACGCTTTCTTTTCCATTCTAGATGACTTATTAATAAGTTATTATATGAATTAATTATATGAATACATTTGGCTTTACAAACAGTCTTTAGTGCTAATTACATACTCATTTAAATGCTTTATAAGTTGCAAAATTAAATTGAAATAATAATAATAATAATATAATAATTGTTATACCCAAATTGAATTAATGTGTGTAACTTACAAGCAAAAAATGGGAGTAAAATTATCATTTAAATGTTATTTACCATCATTTCATTTAGAAAAATAGGATTGCATTTCCATTATACACCCAGTTTTGGTGATAACACATTACAAGTAACACAATTCATGTAATAATATTACTTGACTAAGTAACGAGTAAAGTAATGCATTAAATTAAAAAATGAAGTAATAATATTTGAGTTATTTAAAAAAAAAAATGTAATGCAAGTTACTTTCTAGTTTAACTAATTAGCTTCTTAAAATAAATAGCCAAATTAAAATAAAAGTAGTCACATTGAATCACACACTCAATGAGAGAATGCAGGAACAGACAGAAACCAAGATGGCAAAGCATTACATTTCTGCGATGGAAGTGTTCTTATTATTCTGAATGGATCAAATAAAGGAAAAATGGGATTGTCTCAATGGACAGTGATTTTACTTCTAATAAGACAAAGTACAAAAATAGCAAACGCATTGCTTCACACTCATTAATCTGTATATGTATACGTCATGTATTGCTCAAGAGTCAGGAAGTTCTCAGAAGATAACATTATCCTACATTATTATTTTTTTATATGTTTTTAAGGTAAATGATGGTGTAGGGTATGTGGTGCGTTGTTAATTGCAGAGCTACTTTATTTTAAAAAAAAAGAAGAAAAAAAAATCCTGCAGGTTCTAAAAGAGATCAAACCTCAGACAAGTAAAAAAAAAAATAACAACGCAAAAGTAACTTAAAAGTAATGTAATGCATTATTTCTCATAAAAAAGTAACTTAGTAACGCAACTAGTTCCTTTTCTGGGAAATAACTCAATGTTGTAATGCATTACTTATCACAAAAAAATAATAACTTAGGAACGCAACTAGTTACTTTTTTGGGGAGTAATTTAATATTGTAATGCATTATTTCAAAAGTAACTTTCCCAACATTGCGTACTCCATGATATGTTTGCAGGAAAATTCAATAAGTATTTCAAAATGCATTCAATTTAGGTACGTTTATTACGTTTTTAGTTTCATTTGTTTGTTTGTGTTGTATTGTATGTAATTTAAATATTTTTAATAATTTTTAAATAATTTTAATATTTAAATATTAACTGTGGTTGGAAACCTCAAATATAAATGAATAAAACTTAATTTTTATTTTCATTTCACTTCAGACCTTGCATATATGTCTTGGAAATGCAAATCTAAATACAGAAATACATTTGGGTTGAATTTTGCTATTGATATGCTTTCATTATTCAGCATGCCCTCTTGTGTCCTTGTGCATTTCGTTGATGACTTTAATAATTCTCTCTCTGTTTAAATTCGGCCTTCACACAGCGTATACGTTTTTTATTGCGACTTTGCATTCTGCTCAGTAGACAGATGGAGAACCTCACGACAAACTGAGCTAAAGATATTTTCATTTATGACTCACATTGTGCGTGTGCGTGTGTATAAACAGGTGTGTGTTTGTGAGAGCAGGTGCGCGTGTGAGTAGGTGTGTGAGTGTGTGTGTGTTTGTTTGAAACGGTAATGTTGGTTCGAGCGCTGTCAGCAGAGTTCTCTGATCCATCGTGCCTGGATTTTAAACAAAATCTGTTGAAAGCATTTGCTTGGCCTTAAATATGTGCAGGTGCTGAGTGTGTGCTTGCTGGACACTGATAGCTTGCCATTTTACCAGTGCCTGATGATGTCAGTGCAATACAATACATTAAGTATGGTGTGTATTTGTCTTAGCAATGTCCTGTCAGAAATGATTGAAGTTTAAGATACTAAACATTCAGTTCAAATTCTTCTGTTTTTCTGCTTATTATTATTATTGTTGTTATTATTTTTATTTTTATAGTTGTTATTATTGTTGTTGTTGTTTTTATCATTATTATTATCATTATTATTGTTGTTGTTGTTATCATCATTATTATTATTATTTATTATTATTATTATTATTATTATTATTATTATTATTATTATTATTATTATTATTATTATTATAGGGTTGTGGGCTAGTGTTGTGAAATGTCTTCGGGCTGGGATTCAATCTCGGGACGCCCTGACATGCTACTGCACCATATGTCGGCACACTAACCACTAGTTGTGCCGACAATATTTATATTTTAAATGGTATTTATTATATTTTTAATTTAGTTTATATGTTGTTAATAATAGAGGTGAAGCAGTGGCGCAGTATAGTGCTGTCGCCTCACAGCAAGAAGGTCGCTGGGTTGCTGGTTCGAACCTAGGCTCAGTTGGCGTTTCAGTGTGGAGTTTGCATGTTCTCGCTGTGTTCGCTTGGGTTTCCTCCGGTTTCCCCCGCAGTCCAAAGACATGCAGTACAGGTGAATTGGGTAGGCTAAAATTGTCCGTAGTGTATGAGTGTGTGTGTGTATGTGTGTGTGTGTGTGTGGATGTTTCCCAGAGATGGGAAGCTGGAAGGGCATCCGCTGCGTAAAAACCTGCTGGATAAGTTGGCAGTTCATTCCGCTGTGGCGACCCTGGATAATAAAGGGATTAAGCCGACAAGAAAATGAATGAATTAATGTTGTTAATAATAATAATTAAATTAGTAATTACATCTATGCATATTTATATATGCGTAATAATTATACACAGTACACAGTTATACACAACACACTTAAATTGTCAAAACTAATTTTTATTTTGAATGCGATTAATCATGAGTCATTTTTGCCCAGATCTAATGACAATTATTACATATTTATTGTTTTCATTATAGTATGTTAATAATAATAATAATCATAATAATAATAATAATAATAATTATTATTATTATTATTAAAATAACAGCTTTATCATTAAAATTATTATTATTATTTCTTTTATATACGTTTTTATTATATTTATGTTTTAAATGGTATTTATTATATTTTTAAATGATATTAATAATAATAATAATATTAATAATAATAATAATATGTAGGTTGTTAATCTATTGTTGCCATTATTAAAACAATAATAAAAAATGTTTTTTTATGAACTGATTCTAAATGGCAGTGGACATTTCTCGTTATAATCAATGTTGAAAACAGTTGTGCTTAATATTTTTGTGATATTCATGTTTTTTTTTATCATAACAGCATTTATTTAGACATTATACATGTCTTTTTTTGGTAGGTTTCGATCAGTTCATTGCATCTTTGCTGAGAAGATTTGCAAAAAAAAAAAAAACGAAAATACTAACAAAAACTCCAACATTTTGATCATCCATGCATTTTCTACATTATTTATTGCAGTTTTGCTTCAGCACTTCTGGTAAAGTCAGGATATTGGACTGATGTGTGTTATCTGCTCATGTGATTTCTGGAGGACATCCTTTTTTCCTAATAGTTTACTTAAGTTAGTAGTGAGCCGATTTTCTCATTCACTTGCTAACCTGATCACAGATAAAGACAGTCCGTGTGTGTGTGTGTTTTAGAAAGCGTACTGTGGCCACTGCAGTGAGAGGATATGGGGACTGGGGCGTCAGGGCTACAAGTGTATCAACTGCAAGCTGCTGGTCCATAAACGCTGTCACAAACTCGTCCCGCTGACCTGTCAAAGGCATATGGTGAGTCCACAAATATTATTACGTTTTAAAAAAAGATATATTCATTTTCTATATTATATATTTACATGTTTAAATATTTCTTTTTTTAGACATTTTTATTTGTAATGGCCACTTGATTCAATTCCTTTGTGGTCAAGAATGTCATTATATTATTAGTCATTGCAGTGTTTTTTTGTCTTGTGCTCATTTTTCTCTTTTCTCAAAAGCGTTGCTGGAATTTCTAACAGTGTTTCAAAGATCAGTCTTGTGGAATTTGTCAGATGATAACACTGTCTTGTCATGAGCGAATTGATTCTCTGCTTAAACACAATGTCGAAAATCACAGATTTAAAACTGTTACATCTCAACAACACCTTCTGGGAGAAACAGTTTCTGCATATGTCAGACATTCAGTTTGAAATTCAACACTGAACACCGAAATCCAATCGTTTCTTTGCATCATACAAAACATTTGATTTCAACATTTTTTTTTTTTGTTTTGTTATTTTTTCAGACAAACGTAAAGTGTGAATTTATTTTCTGGAATGCCATTCCATAATTTAAACGCTGATAACTATGTTTCATTGTAGTTATTTTTATTCTTCTTCTATATATTTCATTTATCATTTATAAGATGTTTAACTAAATACCAATAAAGAGAGAAAAAGTACATAACAATTGAAAATAACATATTCCCATCACTGGGAAACACCCATACACTATTATTCATACACGTACACTACGGACAATTTAGCTTACCCAATTCATCTAGGGCATGTCTTTGGACTGTGGTGGAAACCGGAGCACCCGGAAAGCACCCACGCGAACACGGGGAGAACATGCAAACTCTACATAGAAATGCCAACTGACCTAGTCGAGGCTTGAACCAGCAACCTTCTTGCTGTGAGGCAATTGTGCTACCCACTGCGCCACCGTGATGCCAATTACTTTATTATTATTTTTATTAAAAGAAATAAAGACACGTGGATTGAGTAAACACAATTGGCCTATAGTGTGTGTGTGAATGAGTGTTTGGGTGTATGGGTGTTTCCCAGTACTGGGTTGCGGCTGTAAGAGCATCCACTGTGTAAAACATATGCCTGAATAGTTGGTAGTTCATTCCGCTGTGACCCCTGATTAATAAATGGACTAAGCCAAAGGAAAATGAATGATTGAATGAAATAAAAATTACAAAACTGAACTTACGCTTTAAACTACAATAGTTGCTTAGTATTAAAATGTTACTAAAATTAAATTGCCAGCTGTATTGTTTTATTATTAGATCAAGGAAATTTGAAAGCATTTAGAAAATTTATTTTAACTTATAAAATATTTTGTGTTACACTTTAGTTTAAGTATTGATTGATGTTATAAACTACTGGCTTATTACCTACCTATTATTAAGACATTAGCTGTTCATTAGTAGTACTTAAGTATGATTTTATTCTGCATCTCTAATCTTACTCAAAATCTAAACCTAACTTTTACCTTATTGACTGTCAGGGCTCGACATTAACAACAACCTGCCAAACGCAGGTACTGTAGATTTCAGCTGTGGCGGGTTAGACAGTCACTTCAACCACTTTGGCTGGTTGAAGATCATTTTTAAATAGTAGATTTCTTAAAAAGCAGGGTTCAACAATAAGGATTGCCCAATGAGGGGTCTGCGTAAGAGATTATAATAACAATAATAACTGTGTTCGCGTGAGTAAAAGAAAGCAGTTGAATACCGAATGAGAGAATGATCACGAACATAGTCTGACACAGATAATCCTGAAGCACTGACGAGGAGTTCAGTGTCAAGGCTGATTTCAGGTGATGTGATGCACGCGAGTGTTTAAATGTTTTAAAAAAGAAACGATTCCTTGCGTGAAGCATCCATACCTGAAAACAAAACTGGTGCGATTGGTTCTCCTTCAAATAGACTGAACAAAAAGTGACGCTCGTGCACCCACAGTCCTGCTGCTTTCAAGAGATCCAGATTTTGTAACCCTTTAGCCAGCACCCCGACACGGACGCACTGGGGCGCTGTTTTTCCACATGTTAATGTTCATGAATAGATGAAAAGAGAAACAACCCAACTTTTTTTTACAGAAATCTCATTTTGCATGCTGTCTTAATCAAATTTGAATTATAAACTCATGAGTCACATGGCTTTCAAGTTATATTTTTTCTAGGACATTACATTAATGTTTTCCTGTGTTTGTATATGGAAAAACAAATAATGAACACAATAAAAAAACATTGTCATGACTTGACAATGTATAACTTTTTATATTTTTGAGCATGTGACTTTTCCTTTTACCACAGTAAAGATCAAAGTGTCTTCTTTCCAATGATACCCATTTTGTGTTTGTAGCTTACTGGAGTCAAAAACTGTTACTATTTAAATTTAGGTATCTGTAAATCCTCAAAAGTGAGTGTTGGCTAACAGTCTTTTTGTAAGCAATAGGTTGCTTTCGCTTTAACCTTTCACGTGATCATCCTTTTACATTCACATTCAAAGGTATGTTTTTCACTTGCTTTCTTTTGAGAGAAAAATTTAAACGAATGAGGAGGCATGTGGAAAAAACACAAAGTTGAGTCAAATTTTATGCATAAAAAATATATAGGTCAGTTGGCATTTCTGCGTGGAGTTTGCATGTTCTCCCTCTATTGGCATAGGTTTCCTCCAGGTGCTCTGGTTTCCCCCACAGTCCAAAGGCATGTGGTATAGGTGAATTGAGTAAGCTAAAATGGCCATAGTGTATATGTGTGAATGAGAGTGTATGGGTGTTTCCTAGTAATGGGTTGCTGCTGGAAGGGCATCTGCTGGGTAAAACATATGCTGGATACAATGGCGTTTCATTCCTCTGTGGTGACTCCTGATTAATAAAGGGACTAAGCCGAAAAGAAAATGAATGAATGAATGAATGTACAACAAAATTGTGGCTAGTGAAAATGTCGAGTGACTAGTAATGTTGGAAAAACTACTAGCCACAGTGGCTGGGGATCCAAAAATTTTAATGTCAAGCCCTGCTAACTGTTAGTAAACAGCTAATTAGTAGTTTAATAAGCTAGTAGTGTTAGTTAATGGCTTGTTAATAGTGTGAATCGTGACCTAAACTAAAGTGTTACAGTATTTTGTGGTAAATTTTATGCAACATGATCGAATCTACTTTAGTTTTCATCTGTTTTAATTTGATGAAATGCAAACACAAATTTTAATACATATTTTTTCCAATTAGTTACAGTATGTAAGTATACACTGTAAAACTCAAAAAGTTAAGGTAATTCAAGCAGTTTGAGGAAACCAATTGCTACAAACCATTTGAGTTCAAAAACTAATCCTAATGAGTACTGTGAACTTACTCCATTTGAGTAAACGAAGCAATTTGAGCACAGAAAAACCCAATCTAAGAGTTCACACTTAGCTGATAATCAAAGCGTATTTGGCATGCTGTCCCGGGATAGAGCCCTGAGCCTGTAATATCCTCGAGCCCGGGGCTCCTTCACGTTAGAAGGGCGAGAGGGAAGTTCAAGCTCAGGTAGGTCTCGAGAACTCCCCTGTCGCCGTGAGAAGTGTACTTTAGTTGATTGGCTATGGTTTATGTTTTTGGACGGTGGGAGGAAACCGTAGAACCTGGGGGAAACCTAAGCGAACACGGGGAGAACATGCAAACTCCGCACAGAAACATCAACCGGCCTGATAGGTTAGACCAGAGGTGTTCTTGCTGTGAGGCAACAGTGCTAGCCACTGGGCCACCGTGTCGCCCTGTCAGAAAAGGGGGAGAATGTAGGGGTGGAAAGGAGGGGGAGCTTCAAGACGAAGATAACTGGAGTGAAAAACTCTCATTATTTCTAATGCTTCCGTAATCATCTAATAGGACATATTACGGAGCTAATAAGGAGCCAGCCATGTTGATCATAAACACGTGATTCTCTCGAAATTATTTTATGAATAAACCACACTAAATGAAGACAACTCAAACCAGCTGAGTACTGTAAAACCCAATAAGTTAAGGCAACTCAAAGCATTTGAGGAAACCGATTGCTACAAACCGTTTTAGTTTTAAAAAAAAAACTAATCAAAATGAGTACTGTAAACTTACTCCATTTAAGTTGAAGTAATAAAGTATTTAATCAACTCATTACCTTCGACACTGAGTTCAAATCTCTTTTCAAATGAGTAGAATTAACTTTCAGTCAATTTTAAATAAACTACAATTATTTAATTTGATAAAGTTGACTGTTGGGTTTTATCAGTAAATTCATCGAAGATATGAAAAAATAAAAAATAATAATAAAAAGCACCTTTCATAAAGAAAGTAAATAAGGTTGATTTGGATTCACATTAGGGTAGCTGATATTGTGATTTAAAGAGAAAAAGATCCTGTAAAGCACATCTGCTGTGTCTTCATCATCATTATCATCATCTGTGTTGTTTTGCGCAGGATCCAGTCATGCCATCACAGGAGCCGCTGGTAGACGATGATAAAAGTGGAGAAGAAGTGGAGCTTCCCCCTGAGGACCCAGAGGACACAGACGCAAGTAGGTCTCCATCTCGCCTCTGTGTGCGTGTTTAGTGCTGTTTCTGTGAGTATCGGGGTCAGTGTGTCCTCTATCTGCCACTGAGGGCTCTGCTGACTGTAAGAGACTGGAGGTGATCAGCTGGGAGGAATTCACTTTCACACGCTTGAGAGAAACAGAGAGACCTGTGTGTGTGTCTGTCTGACAGAGTGGTGTGTGGCTCCCCCTGCTGGAGGCAGTGCTTCAATCATTTACAAGCTTTTAGAAATTCATAAATAAGATGGAAATTCATAATAATAATAATAACAACAACAACACCAAAAACAACAATAATAATAGTAATAATAATAATACTACTACTAATAATAATAATTATTATTATTGTTATTATTATTATTATTATTATTATTATTATTATTATTATTATTACTGTTGTTGTTATTATTATTATTATTATTATTATTATTATTATTATTATTGTTGTTGTTGTTGTTATTATTATTATAATTGTTATTATTATTATTATTATTATTATTGATGTAGTTGTTATTTTATTTTTGAAATGCTTTCTTCTATCTAAAATAGAAAATAAAATAATACATTTACTACCTCACAGCAAAAAGGTCGCTTTTTCGAGCCCCAGCTGGGTCAGTTGAAATTTCTGTGTGGGGTTTGCATGTTCTCCCCATGCAGGCGTGGGTTTCCTCCGAGTGCTAGGGTTTCCTCCACTGTCCAAAGACATGCAGTATAGGTGAATTGGATAAGCTAAACTGCTGTAGTGTATGAGTGTGAATGCAAGAGTGTATGGGTGTTTCCCAGTGTTGGATTGCTGCTGGAAGTGCATCCGCTGCGTAAAACACCTGATGGATAATTTGGTAGTTCATTCCGCTGTGGCGACCCCTGATTAATAAAGGGACTAAGACGAAAAGGAGATGAATGAATGAATGAATGATGATGATTATTATTATTATTAATGTAATAATACTATTATTGCTGATTATTAATAATTATTTTGACTAATTAATATAATACTTAATTTATTAAACAAATAAATGTTGCATCTGTCATCTGCATCTCCACAAATATATATTATTATTAATAAGTTATTGTTATTATCAAATTATTATACATATTATATTATTTTATATATAATAAGTATAATATGATATTATTGTTATTATTTAATGTTCACATACTTTCTCTTTACTTTGCTAAAAATACCCATATTAAATGTGTAATAATAATAATAATAATAATAATAATATAATACTAATAATATAATAATATATATATTCAAATAATGAATAAAACTAATTGATTATTTTACTGTTGTATTGAAATACTTAAACTATTTTATATTCTAATAAGCTTGGGACAAACAATAACAGAAAATAATATTGATTATTATTATTATGCATATAAAATGTAATATTAGTGTTATTTTTTAAATGCTCAAATAGTTTCTCTTTACTTTGCTATAGATTTACATATTACATTTATAATAATAATAATAAGAATATAAATATAAATAAATAAATACTATTTCCTAAAATGTAATAAAATATTTTCAAATTATTAATAAAATAAATAGATTACTTTACTGTTGTATTAAAATGCTTTATCTATTTTATTTCCTAATAAGCTCAGGACTAATAATAATAGTAAATGATACTGATTAATATTCTTCTCTTTCTCAGGCTCAGTTAAATCTGTTTTATTGGAATGAACATTTTCAGCTTTGCTACAGAAATACAATTGTGTACAACAACAATGCATAAATATTTAGATTTAAATAACTTTTAAGAGAAGAATAACATGAACAACATAAAAGAAAAAAAAATCAAGTAAAGTTTAAATAAATTAATAAATTAATTGATTAAATAAAGTTTTCTCCTTCTCTGTCTTTCAGTTCCAGTCCCTTTCTTAGCACACAACCGAAAGGTGGAGAAAGCTGAAGATGATTCAGAGGTGAGATTAATAAACACTCAGAAACATGCTCACATTCTCGATAACACATAGTCCACACACACATCCTTACTCTGCTGTTTGAGAGCAGGAATAAATGTACATGTATACAGTTGAAGTCACAATTATAAGCCCTTCTATGATTTATTTTATTATTATATTTTTTTTCTCCCAAAATATTTCTCATATGATGATTAACAGAGGAAGGAATTTCCACAGTATTTCTTATAATATTTTTTCTTCTGGAGAAAGTCTTGTTTGTTTTATTTCGGCTAGAATAAAAACAGTTGATTTTTTTTAAAGCATTTTAGGGTCAATTTTAGTAGCCCACTTAAGCAATATATTTTTTTCGATAGTCTACAGAACAAACTAATATTATACAACGACTTGCCTAATTACTCTAACTTGCCTTATTAACCTAGGTAAGCCTTTCAATGTCACTTTCAGCTGAATTCTAGTATCTTGAAAAATATCTTGTAAAATATTATATTAAATATTATTGTCATCATGGCAAAGATTAACAAAATCTCTGATATTAGAAATGAGTTATTAAAACTATGATGTTTACAAAAATCTTTCTGTCGTTAAACAGAAATTGGGGAAAACAATATACAGAGGGCTAATAATTCAGGAGGGTTAATAATTCAGACTTTAATATGTATGTGTGTCGTTACCTTACAGGACCTGAAGGCAGTGGTGGATGGTATCGAGGGCATTCAGATCTCTCAGTGTCTCGGTTTGGGGGATTTCGACCTGATTCGAGTCATTGGCAGAGGCAGTTACGCAAAAGTGCTGCTCGTCCGGCTCAAGAAGAACGAGCAGATTTACGCCATGAAGGTGGTGAAGAAAGAGCTGGTTCATGATGATGAGGTAAAACACTGTCACAAACACAGCGGCTGCGCTTTATACCTTTAAGTGCCCTTTTTTCTGTTTGTCAATTGCAAAAATGAGATTGTAAATATTTGTAGTATAAGCAGGGATAGTTCATCAAAAAATGTAAATTCTGTTGTTGTTTCTTTCTTCCTTTTTTTGAAGAATATTGGAAACTATTGACTTTTCCTGCTCTGGATGTCAGGTTTTCAACATTCTTTGAAATACCTTCTTTTTTTCTTTAACAGAAGAAATAATCTCATAAAAACAAGTTTGAGTCAAAAGTGAGTACATTTTTACTAACAGTGAAAATGCAGAAAGTTCTTAATAGTGTGTGCATAATTACCACAGAGTAATCTCTCCTTTCAAGTGAATTTTACCAATACTACTCTCAGGTTTGTATATAATCTTAATTAAAGGGATATTGCATCCAAAAATGAAAATTAACTCACTAAAGTGGTTCCATATGAGTTTTTTCTTCTGCTGAATGCAAAAATAAAAAGAATTTTGGGAACCTGAAAAAAATACAATGGAAGCCAATGATTACATGTTTCCAACATTCTTTAAAATATCTTCTTTTATGTTCAACGGAATTTTTTTTTTTAAACCGGTTAGAAAATTGTCGAAGGTGAGTAAACAATCACTGAAATGTCTTTTTAGGTGAATTATCCCTTTAGGAGAACATTTTAAGAGCTTTCGGCCACTTCAAATACTGAGTGATCTTTTTATTTTTGTTCCTTTTTAAAATCTGTGGTAAATGATCTGTTGTTGTTCTCATAATGCTATTAAACTCACACAAAATGATATTCAAGCTCAAACTTTTTTAAAATTATGCAAAGACTTATTTTTCTGTCCATTTTAGGCCATGGTAATACAACATTTAGCCTGTGAAAGAAAGTCAGGAATTTTTATATTTGGCTAAAAGTGGAAACCTAGACATTCATCGGAATGTGCATAATTTAGCATGTTTTCTTGATAAATATTTGTAAAATAAGATGAAAATAACATACTCAAACCAAAAAATTATTAAATGTCCACAAGAAGGGTTCAGTACTATAGAAATCGTCAAATTAAGGCAAAAGCATATTACCTACTGGAACCTTGTTGAATCTTACAGAACATTTAACACTAGTTATTAATGATTATACGCTAAATGAATTGAAGGTAATATTGTTTATGGGTCTTGGAATTTGTCCAATGTTTAAAGGAAAAAATGTGATATTGAATACTGAAAAAAGAATATTGACATCATAATTCTGCACATGTTGTAAGTACAGTTGTATTGGCGAGCAGTAGGTGGTGCTGTGGGACTGTGCTTAATTTCTATCACGTAATCCTCCCTCTATCACTCGCTTCACTTGTTGTTCACCTTCAGGTTTCTTAACCAGAACATTTGTATTAAACATAAAAAAACCTTAGTCTTACATTTTGTAAAATGGTTTGCTTGTGCCTAACGTTATTTGAAGCTTATGATCATTTATAATAAGGTTTTCCTGAACATGGTTGGAAACAAAAATAAGCCATTGGAAAAAGAGAAGAAAAGATACTAGAAGACAATAAGCAATTGGGAATGATAGCTAATTGATAAATGGAGTTTAAAGTGGAGTATAGTGGTTGTTTTCTAGGAGCATTTTTAAAATTGCCACAGAAGTTCAGATTACTCACTTTGTTTGTCACAAAATAATTACATGCGTCAGTCGCCTTTAAAACAGCCTTCTTGCGCCCACATTCAAACTGTCAGAGTTAAAATATAGCTTTTTTTATGTATTTGTATATATATTTAGGTTCTTGATAATGAACATTTCATGAAATAATTGGCAAATTAAACAAACTAAAATATTTTATGTTGATGCGTTTTTGTTTGATTGATTTTATTGAGTAATTTATTAATTTATTGTTTAAAAGTTTGAGTTCAGCAAAATGCATTTAATTGTTGTAATTTTAATTGTTATTCAGCGAGCATTTAATTGATAAAGTGTTACAGTACAGACATGATTACTATTTGTAAACATACTTTTCAGTTTGTTACAACCAAATACAGTTGAATTCAAAATTATTAGCCACCCTTTGATTTTTTTTTCTTTTTTAAATATTTCCCTAATGATGTTTAACAGAGCATGGAAATTTCCACAGTATATTTGATAATATTTTTCTTCTGGAGAAAGTCTTATTTGTTTTATTTCAACTAGAATAAAAGCAGTTTTTTAATTTTTTAAAAGCCATTTTAGGGACAAAATTATTAGCCCCTTTAAGCTATATTTTATTTCGATAGTCTACAGAACAAACTATCATTATACAATAACTTGCCCAATTATCCTAACCTGCCTAGTTAACCTACTTAACCTAGTTAAGCCTTTATATATATAGCTTTTTAGGTTATTGCTAATTAATTTTACATAGAAAAACATTAGAATTTCTATCTTATATATCAAAATAAAAATTTTATGTACTAGTTATTGTAATTTTCAAAAGTTAAATTTGATCAAATTATTTATTTATTGTTTAAGAGTTTGAGGTCAGCAAAATGCATTTTTAAGATAAATTAATATTTAATAATAATAATAATAATAAAAGTAATAATAATAATAATAATAATAATAATAAATATATAATAATACTAATAATAATAATAATAATAATAATAATAATAATAATAATTAGCAAAAATCAATTTTTTCTCAAATGAAAAAAACATTGTTTCCAACATTGAAAATAATTAAAAATGTTTCTTGAGCACCAAATTATCATAATAGAAAGATTTCTGTAACATGAAGAATGGTAAATGTCCTCACAGCATATGAGGATGCTATATTAACATATTAAAACACATTTTAAAAGTTGATAGTAATTTATATTGAGTTGCCTTACTTACGAAGTACTTGCATTTAAGTTATCTGCTGTTATTATTAATCTGTAATTGTTTTCTTTAATGACACTGCAGAAACTGCTTTTCTTACATAGATTTTGCTTATTGAGAAAATGCTTCTTGAGTTAAAAAAATTTGGATATTTAGATGAGAAACAATACAACAAAATCATAGTATTTATTTTTTGCACTGTACATTTATAATTACACCATTGACCCATCCTTAAACCTTAACCCATTGTTAAATCTGTCCTTGAACTTGCCTGTATCCCACCTGTTGTGCAGTAAAATATGAAAACAGTTAGTTCATTATACTTTTGTTTGATATCTAGTAGTTAAAGCCACTTCATATACAGCAGGACCAAATGAATTGTGATCCATAAATCCATCCATCTTTGCCAAAGCATAAAACATTTACCAATATATCCTCACTTTTGAAAGCAAGTGCATTTATTCATATCCCGAGTAAAGCTTTTGAATGCAATACGATTTGAACGTGTGCTAAAATCACTCGTATAGCCCATTATTGTAGTATCTATTGTTTGTCAAATAAAAGAGAAGCCGGGTTTCAGTGCACTACAGCATTAGTCATATCTCTTTCTTTCTCTCTCTGTAAATGAAACCTGATATGTGTGAATAGGCGTCAAATAGAAAGACAAACTCAACTCTACGCCTATTCATCACAAATTCAACTTTGTACAGTCAAAGCTATTGTGTCTTTGTAAAACTTGGCTCGCTAAGGAACTGTCATGAATGAAGTTCAGGAGGAGCAGAGGTCCTTCCAGAAACACACAGACATGCATTTGACCTCGCAATAGATACAAACAATGAAATCGTTTCTTGGAACGTTGGCGATTCTTCAAGGAATGGGCCGTTTTTCTGTTATATTAAATTGTGTGTGTGTGTGTGTGTGTGTGTGTGTGTTTTGCAAGTGTATGTTGAGCAGTCAAGGAGGTTTGATGAGTCTGAAACCTTAAAGGGGTAATTCAAGCTGAAACGAGATTTTGCTGTTAATTTACTCATTATCAGGCCATCTAAGATTTTTGTTATTTATTTGGTAGTACATTGAAGAACATTTTCTTGGAAATTTATGGAATACAAGTCAACAACAACTGACACATTAAGAGGAAAAAAAGTTTCAGTGTATTAACTTGAATATTATTCACAACATTATTTCCTCTGATTATTATTTTCCCATATATGTATTTGTGGTATTAAATTTTGTAAGTGTAGGTCTTTAAAAATGTTTTAAAAAGTGTAGTACACAACACACACAATTAATAACACGTTTTTTGATATATAAAATACATTAAAACACTTTTTGAATAACAGCAATTGACATCAAATGAGCTAAGAGACAAACATGAATCTGAACATATTCAATACATACTGTTAAAGTGGTTAAAAATTAAACATGCTGAATAACTTTAAAGAAATGCTGACAAGACACAATACCAAAAATATGCACTGCTTTTAATATATTCATGTCGATTTAAGTGTAAAAGAAGTCATTTTGTTTTCTAAAATAAATTAAATAAATCAAAATACAAAAACTCGACAAGATTTCTATTTAGTTTACCTTCTTGTTTTAAAATACCTCAAAGTAATGAAAATTTTAAAGAAATAAATAATAAATGTAAAGGAATTAATGTGATTTTAGATTTTTAATTTTGCTGTACTTTTGCCATTTTAAAAGTTTTATTATTTAAATATTTTAGAATAAACAATATTGTTTTTATAATAAGTAATATTATATTAAGTTTATAATACATTATAATAATATTTTTTGATAAATACTATTCATTTTTTTTTAATAAAGAAAATATACTGCATTAGAAACCAAGTATTCCATTAGGGGGAGGAGTGCGACACGGCCAGAAACAAATGAAGAAATGTAGGAAACTTTATATATACACAAAATCATCATCTGTTTCTCTTCATGTCTTTATGCTGAGACAGCTTTCCTGTAATCTGCTTTCCACTCAGCCAGGAAATTAAATTGTTCTGATTTTGGAAATCAGACCTTTTGTGTGTGTGTGTGTGTGTGTGTGTGTGTGTGTGTGTGTGTGTGTGTGTGTATGTGTGTGTGTGTGTGTGTGTGTGTGTGTGTGTGTGTGTGTGTGTGTGTGTGTGTG